GAAAAATCTGATTAGTTCGGATAGATCGGAATCACATGACCCGTAACTTTTTTTTCGCCATGGCTAGGGTACTTTTCGTAATACACATCACATGTCATATCAATTTTTCATTTTTGAACTTGTGCAATCGTACGATCTGTTACTGTGACAAAATAAAAATCACATGCCTCCGGAAAAATTTCTGCCGAAAAGTAATGTGATACACGTATTGTGTAACCGATTAAATGTAGCATCTAAATTCCGATATTGGTTAATCGTGTATTTGTCACGTGAAAATGACTAACGCGACATACCCTCTTACACGTTTGTCTGTCTTTTTGCTCCGACTTTTTTCCTTTATCGGACGAGTTCATTTTTTCTTTTTTCACAAGAACATGTCTTCACCCGGACACTACCCTGGTTATATTGGTAAGTTTTGTGGCTCAACTTGCGATCCGAATATTTTCTTTCCAAGTTTGTCTGATGTTTCCAGCTCTTCTCTCTTACCTGAACGAGCACACAAGCTGGTCGTACTACGAGTTTCCGTGATGTCATTGTATTGTCACCACCTTTTTCGGATGAGTGGAACGGCCTCGACGGCGCTTGGACTCACAGATTTTTAAAAAAAGCAGAAGCGCTCAATCCAAAAGATTTTGAAATTTTAAAGGTCAAGGTAACATTTTCTTTTATTTAGCCAAGGGGGCTCCTGGTCAGTCTACGTTCTAATCAGGAGTATCAGTCTACGTTCTGGCCCGAGTGATGGTGGTGGCGCTCTGGGTCAGTCTGCGTTCTGACTCAGAGTATTAGTCTACGTTCTAAGCCTTCACCATTGCGAATCTACATCTTATCTTGCTTGAAGTTGCTATTTTGCTGTCAACTTTTCGTTATTCTACGATTAACTCTACTTTTTCATTATTGCCAAATTTATACCCCCTAAATATGTTTCTCACGACAGGTAGATTCTGAACGTTCAAAAAATGGGTTGCAGGCCTATTGGGAGGGAGTAATCCATAAACGGAAGAAGGTAAATCGAGCTTTGTATATTACTGCCTTTCATTCTTACCAAGATGTCGCTAACCTTGA